TAGGGCCACACGTAGCAATCAACTGCGCTGGTTTCATCAAAATTGATTCTTCAGTGGCCCGTGATCTGGGAGGCGACAACATTGAGATTCTTGATTCAACGCGTGTACACCCAGAAAGCTATGACCTGGCCAAGCAGATGGCGAAGGATGCCCTGGAATACGACGATACGGACGACAATAATCCCTCAGCTGCTTTGGAAGAAATCGTTCAGAGGCAAGTCCCTAGAAACTCGCCTTGCTTCTAAAAATCTCAACCAATTTTACAAATGCTTGATTTTCTATTGTTATCCGGGCCATCGTTGAATACAACCATGTGCTTTCTTCCATAACCCCAATTTGAATGTGATTTTGCAGTCCTACTTTGCACAGAACCTAAGATCTTTTCGCATTTGAGACCTGAGGTTTCAATTTTTTGTGCACTTTTTTAACATAAGAACTGTAAACTGCCAAGAATATCAAATGCTCCATCCTTCTGATCACAGTAGTACACACAGACGGTTGTCAGTTTACTGCTCCCTTCTTCCTTCTCTTCTTCCTGCCCCCCCCCCCCTTCTTGGTCTTTTTTCGAACCGTCGATTATTTGTGCACCAGGGGAGCTGACACCCAGACCCGATTCTGGCTGTGCTGGGAACAGTGAAGATCGGCGAACTGTAGCTCACTACTTCCTTATACATCACAAGTAACTTTGTTAACCGACGTCTCTTATGTGCTCAAAACAGCAAAAGTTCCTTGGTAGCGCCGGGAACCGTCGTGGAAAACGTCAAAACCATTGATCGCACTAATAATTAGACGGCAGAACTGGAAACCACGCCTGTATAACTGTTCATACAAAACTGACAATGGGTAGAACGCAATTTTTTGCTGTCATTGGTAGGCAGCGCAGTGAAAATCCCTGTGGAGGACTGCTATTGTCGTATACACGTACTCACTGGATTCGTCTGTGACTGCTGCCTTATAAACCGCCGCTAATCCCGTTTTTGGAGTTTTAATGTTGATTGCTGATCTAGCATCGAGCTTCCTGGCTGTAAATAATCCAATTATCTCTTAAATTATCATGACCCTTTACACCTTGTGGTTTAAAAGGCTGTTAGGTGAGGGAGTGACTCGATCCTCTTGCGGTCTAATAACCTGATCGCTATACCTCTTTTATGGGGTCTTTCTTTACTAAACTTCCTGGATGAAAAGTAAGAAAACTCACCATTCTAGGCGTGCACCGTGTGCGTCTAGAGACCAACCCGTGTGTGGCATGCGTAAATATGATTTAAGTCCCCTTCGCTACCGCTGCTTCGTCTATCCCCAGTCGCCATGGCCATTGAATCAAGGCCGAGAATGATGGATAGGGCGAGGTCAATGCTGCACAAGTCACCGGTGCGTCCCCGGCTCGGTGGGTACCCTCGTCACGTGCAGCGAACGAACTATCAATATTCATATACTGGAAATAAATCAGTGTTGACTGAATTTTTCAAGAACTTGTTTGACGCTATCAGCTCATCGGATAGTTTCACCAAACATCGCATCTTTGAGTCGCCAGTTGGGTCTCAGTGTCTCCTGCTATGCACTCTTAGGTGTATACGTAGGTTGAGGCCTTTATTATTCAACGTATGATGACTGGCTGGCTGTGGTGTCCATGTTAAAGCTGTGGAAAGTAGCCAGCAGGGAAGCTGATAGCAATAGCGAGATCCCTGAAATCGATCACATCGAGTTTCGCCACAGGTCTGTCTTCTGGGTGCCAAGTTTTTTTTGGCGTAACAACGCCGTTCCACTGCCAATGTCGACATAGTGCACCGCGCATAGATCTGACATTGAATTGGCCCAGCGTACTAGGACAAATATACAGAGGATTTGGCCTAATCCCTAATCCTTGTTGACACCAGTTCCCGGCACATAAGTAACTCTTTGGACCGGTAACTGGAAGTGATTGCTTATCAGGGCCGATCATAGATGTCAGTGACATAAATGCGGTAAAGTTGGAAGCACTTACCAGCAGCTGACATGATCGTCCGCATTGCACAGCCTCCGTGCTGGCAGGGTTAGGCCTGGAACTGCGAGGACAAGATGGGTTTCCTCATCTCGGAAAGCAAAGCTTACCGCCTTCCAAACACAGAAACTTGCATATGTGCCGTTTAGCGCATCGGCTGAGGTCTGAATTCGTTGATTGCTGGTAGAACCGTTGCACGAATGAACACTTGTGATAGGAGAGATCCAATGTGTCCTAAGTTGCCCCTGTGGAGTCCCGATGAATTAAGTTAAGGGGGAGGGGCTGTGGGAGTTCACTTTAGAAATTTTGAAGAGACGTCTTGTCTTCCAGCCATGTCACCCGACAGTTCGACCGTCATCACCGACGATGTCCATCGTTTAACCCACGGGGACGCTGACTTGCGCACGAATTGGTTTGCAATGATAATATACTTGCTGCATCCACCACACTCCTCCGCCACCTGGGCCCGTAGTTAAGACAAAGTCAAGAAAACCGGAGGAGAGAGAAGGCGCAGGTGGATATCATGGTCGAACCCGCACCTTGGCCCTCCATTCCGCATCCCCTGGTCCACACAGAAAATGACCAGGATTTTAGCAAACAATAAAAAAGGGTTGGCGCGGCCGAAGCCGCACCTAGGCGTGTAGTCACATCTGGTTCGGATCCCACACAGTGGGGAGTGCCATACAGGCCATATTAAGGAGGATCCATTGTAGCCTGACTCTTAGATCACCAGTCGGCCGCCCCACACAAACACAAAACGCTGGGCCGACTGCGAGGTCCAAGTTATTCTATCAGTTGATAACCTTCCAAGCCGCAGCTTTTAATGCACCGTGATGGCTTCAAACGCGTCAGCTTGTTTATAGTGAGGAAAGTGCGCCGAGTCGTCGACCTCACTCTCCCTTACCACTCACTGTCCGAGTGGGTCAGTTGACTGCAGCGGGGAATGGGCGCGGTGGCTGACGTGGTCTAGTGACCTTGTCTGCGCGCGTCACATGCGCGACCTGACAGTCCAAACACAAGCACCAGGATTTCATGCAACAGGGGTCGAACGGCGTACATCTCAAATGCGTGAGAGTGCCGCAGGTCACATTAAAAAGGAGCCGTTTCAGCCTGGCTCTCAACCCACCAATCCGCCACTCCAAAGGACTCACACACAACTGGGCAGACTGCGTGGGCTGAGTTGGAAAGTCAGTCAGCAGCCTTCCAAGCCACGGTGCTTGACGCACTGTTATAGTCTCAGACTCGAGTCACACATTCAGTGGAGGAACCAAATGGAGACGGAGCCGAGACGTACACTTCGCACTTGCATGGGAGGTGGCAGTTGGATGCTTGTGGTGGGTGATGTAGGTGGGGGGAGATGTGATGGTGTGGCGTAGCCGGCGGTCGTCTACTGCAAGTTTTCGCGAATGCGCATTTGGCCTAATGGACCCATGCGATGAGTGAATGTGCGGGTGCAGTGAGGGCGGTTGAGGCGGATGCGGCGAGTGTATGTTGGTGCTCTAAGCAGTGGTTCGTCAGTCTCTGTGCGATGGCTTCGTAAGTGACCGACCAGGCCGATGTGTGAGATGAATGCGCGGGACAGTATGGACAGGAAAAGTCGGTATTGTCACCCAAAAGGCATTCAAGCACATGCATAGACTTACGTAATTGTGGATTTTCACGACTATCGAAACTCTTCAATTAAGATTCGTAATTGCCTGGTAGATAGAAGTTAGAGGACATAACACTGTTGAAAACGCCGACTGTCTACTTGATATTTCAATTACTAAGGAAAGCTGCCATATGGATAATCCTTTGTAATTGCCTTGTTTAATTTGCGTCATGACCCTTCCAAACCAACTTCTTTCTCTAGTCCTGCCCGGTTGCGTGAACTGGACCTTGACGCATTTGCTGAGGAGCTGAAGAGGCAGGGCCATGGCGACAAACATATCACGCTGTACGATATCCGCAAGGAGTTGAATCATCGCTACCGAGATCTCCGTTTTCCCTTCGAGCCCTTAACCGCGGAGCAAATTTTCAGTCTCACTACCCATGAGACTCCGGAGACTTTGCACGTCGGTCGTTTGGTTGAGTGTCAAGTGCTGGGTGTAGCTACCAGGAAGCCCAGGCCGGAGCAGTTGGATAAGGCGAATCCCACCAAAAATGAGATTACGGGCTTGTGGATGTGTCCATTCTGCAAGCAAGATGACTTCCAGAAACTCGACGAGGTATATGACTGATTATTTGACATTCTTAGGCTCCAGTCCATGGGGTTGGGTAGTTGATGTCGAAGTTTCCAGTTTTCGCGTCATTTGAGTTCTTACACGTTTGGCTTTTTATGGTGTCAACTCCTTTTTTTAAAAGAAAACCCCTATAAGACTTGAGTAAATGGCAGCCCCAAGTTTTTTGTAAGTCGAATTTTGGTAACCAAAATAACTTTTTTCTACGCTGGAACTAACTAGTATTTTACTGCTTAGTGTTGAATTGATGCGGTATGCTTATTGCTTCTCGACTTAATCATTAAATCACAGGAACCCGTTTGTGTTAGTTGATGTCTTAATGTCCTTTCCTTCGTCCACTTTAAGCCGTTTACTCTTATTATGATTGTTAACTCGTTGGATTAAGAACGTGAAACGCTGTTTCAGTTGAAGATCGTTCAAAACCGGTCTCAGGGTAATAAGTTCGAATGTTGTAAGAGACGAGGACCACCACTGTCTCTACTGAAGTAGACCTGAAATTTGGCAAGACAGAGTCAAGATGGCCGGAGTCTGACGCAGAAGCACTTGATGAAGTTAAAGCCACTTCTGTTCGTAGTAATATCTGACATCGAGAAAACCAGTTATCGCAAGGGGGTTCCAGATTTCGCACAATTGAGAATGGAAGAAGGGCACTCTCCAGGGGCTAAACCATTGCCTTCTGACCCGCGTGCCAGATAAGGATCGAGTTATCTCGTCAGTTAGCAAGCTCACCGGCCACAAGCTGTATCATTTCGTACTAGTTTGAAGGCGCGTATGATTGCTTATAACCGGTAAGCGCAGCCCGAAATCCCAGAGAGAACGGCCTCGGTCTCTCATTTCCATCCGATATCACCTGCGAGTCCGAATCAATGTGGATAGCGACAAAGTCAGACTCAGCGACTGACCTATCATGAGGCCCTCATATGACTCGTTTTACCCCTCCCTCACCACTCTGGTTTCTCCTGTTTCGATCAGTGATGGCAGCTAGATTTGAATAGTTGTAAAACTCCCTTCATAAGCAACCCACCTCCAATAGTCTAAAAGCGTATTTGACACTGATGACCCAGAGCCCCGCCATATCGCATCCTGCAAACTTTTATGAATCCTATTGGCTTGCTTTGCAAGAGATCTTCGCAATGTCTGAGGATGCAACCATAATGTGCAAATGCCTTCTCGTTATCTGGTAGTTTCGTGTTCCAACTGGTAGTCATAATGGCTGAGTGTTTTTGCCATTCTACTTCTTCTTAAATAAAAATCTGAGCATTAGAATACTGGAGAAGGTCTTACCAACCAAGACAGGGGCACCGGATTATCCGTTCCTGGGATATTTTCCGTCGCTAGCCAATGACGCCTCAGGACCTAGGTGTGTGTCCAGTCACACTTGATAATTGAGCAGCCTCCTCACCATTGCACTAAAGGCTCATGCCCTGTCGACTGGCATCGGAGAATATTTATTTACACGTGGTCTGTAGACACACAGCCACAAGGTAAAGCGCAAACGATCATTTTCATCTTGCAGTCTGAGTGGACTCGTGCACGCCACTCCCATTTGACCAAAATACTGCTGACGAATGGAAGAGAATATGCACATCCCAGGTTCTTGTTTAAAATACTGCTCTCTACAGGACGAGGGAAGGAGTGCATTCAACATGAGGACTTCTCACATCCTCTTGACTTAATCTGTTGACTCACAACCGTATTGGTGCCTTGCAGTAGACTAGTTGGTGATACTGATACTTTCTGCAGCTTTTGTTTGGTCGAGAAATGGTGAGGAATGAGTTGACCGCACTTAAGTTAACCCGCAGAGATGGCTGAGTTTTATTTTTGCAGGGGTTCAAGGGGTGGCAAAGCACGCAGCGTCTTAGCTGCTGCCTGCGCCAAATTATATTTCTGGTGCGCAAACTGCAGTCATTAAATTGTATTTTATTCAGTAGTATGCATGCCCACGCTTTAACTCCGATCACACCTCACAGTTTAAACCTAAGCGCGTGGCCCTTACTAGAATCGGCGAATGCTTTCCGGTGGTAATGTTTGACGCTACCAAGTAAGCTCCACTCGTGCTCTTCCCTTTGTCCCTTCTTGGCTCTTCATCCTCTACTCCCACAGTAAACACTTATTGGGATTGAGATAACACCCACTCAACTCTGTCTTCCAGTGGTAAACGACTAACCCTCAATCGAGTTTTGTCATGCCTACCAAACAGGACTTATTGAAGAAACAGGCGCTTCTTTTTCAGCCAATCGCACCACACTTTCTTGGTCTGCCTCGAATTGGCGTCGACTTCATTATAATGGAACTTCCAACCCGACCTTCAGTAGAATCTTGGATCAATTCGAAGGCACAATCTTTTTTTTCTCCGCATACGCTTTAGCCCTGGATTTTTAAATAGTTTATGAATTTTCTTCCCTCATAAGTCCCGCTATCGTGCGCCCCTTAGTCGATTTATCGATCTACGCAGGATTCGTTCTAGTGACCGGCCAATTTGCCGTGCTCTGTGTCCTGACAAATTCTGGGGCTATCCCTGACATTATTACAGTCCTTAGTAGAACATACCGTTGTTTTCAAAGTTTTACCACACGAGTGACCTATTTCCCGTAGCCCTTCCTCATAATTGAATTTCCTAGGTACTGTCCAGTACTAAGGTAGGCTTATTTTCCAGCGGTACAGACCTCCACTGTTTATAGTGTTGTCAAAAGAACTTTCGCAGAGATCCGTCCACTACATCAGCCCTTTCAACCATATTCCTTGCCGGACTAAAATTGCAGATTTTCGTTTTTTTGCCTAGATGTGGGCTCATTTTGACAGTAACGACTGTCCCGGCCAGGTTGTTGGACTTCGGTTACAACTGGAGAATGGTATCTCTGGCTTCATTCCCCTCCGCCTAACTGATCCGCCCACGGAGCGCGTACTTGAACAGGCACAACCAGGGACCATTCTACAGGCTCGCGTGACCAAAATTGACATCACCAAATACAATGTAGAGCTAACACTGAAGGCCAGTGACATACAGGTAGTTAAACTTTTGCGACCATTTCTATGGGGACCTGTGGCAAATTCTTACCTCAAATTAAGCTCGAAACTACCTGTTAGGAAAGAATACAGCAACTTTTGCCACAAACAGCTCCCCTTTTCATCTGGACTGCCGAATGATTATTCCACCGGAAAACATCATTGGTGGGAAAGTAACCATTTTGTTCCTGTCCTCTCTACCTACAGCCCGAGTTCACGCACGACGGTTGCTACCAGAAGTCGTTCTTGCGAACAGGGCGTTTGAGCCTTCCGATGACATTTTATGCTAAAAGACTTTGTGATAACCAGGATAATTGTGTGAGAAGGTCCTCTAGCCTGAGACGCTTCTTCCTGTACATGCTAAGGAACCATAAGCAAGTATGGCAAAAAGTAACTACCGAAGTTACTAGATTGCTTTGGAATTTGCACTGGTTCACCCAAAAGATGTCCAAGGCAGCTTTTAATGATGACCATTGGGATCTAAAGTTACAGACTAAGATTCTTATCGCATCTGGTCATTAATGATGGAAACTGCAGCAGTAAATATCCTTAGTAAAGGCCAAAAACGGTCATTTGGCCCTAATGATCACCGAATCCGCCGTTGGGGGCGTCGTAAGTTGTGTCCGCACCGTCATTATATGCCGCGTTGTATATGAATTAAGCCATCCTTGTTAATAGGATGATGAAACATAAAGTCCCACGTTAAACTGTAGATCTCAAAACCTTATAAGCCTTGTTTGGTCAGTTAATATGATCAGCTGCGGCGCATACATCCTTGGTAAGAAAGTTTGCTTATTCTATCATTATAGGACTATGAAGTCGACAGTCATTAGAATATTTTCTCGGACATCTTAAAATTGGATACTTCCTCTCACAGGTAGCCATCGCGATGTTCAAGTATTCGCGAAGCATCTAGCGAGTAACATGCTGTCTGTGGAGTGGCTTCCTGACCGAGTTTGCCCAATTCCCGGTCCTGGCTAACCGTACGATGGAGCTTGGTTCGAGACGAACTGTATCTTCTTCTACCGACAAATGTTGTTGCTGGACTGGAAACTGCAACTCTGATGTGCATGTGTTTTCTGCATTCGCAGACGCATAACCGTATCCGGCGTGTCTCACAACTCGCGCGTCTTGTTAACTCATTAACTACACATCCGCAACCATGATTGTTACACCTAGACTTCAGGAATCATGACGACCCGTACCGACTTTAGGCTGCGGGTCGCTATAATCTCTTATTATGATCTCAGCTTAAGGAGGTGTTTTTGTGCGTTATTACGGCCAGGCCATTGTAATGGTCCCCGGTCTTAGTCACACAGCGTCCTCAACCCGTTGATAGTTACGACCTAGTTGACAGTTTGATTGCGTTCTTGAGCAGAAAGTAGTACAGAATCGTTATTTTTTTATTCACTCCGTCCGATATCGCATGCCTGTGTGCTTTACATATTTGATTTAATCCGAATGCTAGGCAGTAACTGAATTCATGCCAAATTTGGGGCCGAAACTGGAAAGGTTTGCCTCGAGAAACTAACCCCAATTAAGTTTGCAAATTAGTTTCTGGTTGACTTTGAAAACCTAGAATCTAGAATATGTTATGTTTTATGGTAGAAACTAACTGAAGGACGATGGGAGACCCACTGCTAAACCGAATTTCTGTCAGCTCTGTCACTTAACGCACAAAATCGACGAAACGCGTGTCTAAGCCTTTAGTTAGTACCCATGCCCGGGTGCATGTCAAATCAGTCTCACAGTGTATTTATAAACTGTTGGCTACCTGTGGACAGACTGTGAATATTTTGCGGTTTTTTCACCGAAGCTTATGGGATTCGACACAAATACTTATATCAACACTCCGGCTGAACCAGGAAGTGTCTGTCCGTAAGATTTCATTCTAAGTTCACACAGTTATTTTAGTGAAAAATAATAGATGTAGTAGCCGAGTTATTAGCATTTCGTTCCACCGTTATCGTGCTGTCTTACGTGGGCCAGTTTTGATAAGTCACTCCAATTCATCCGCAACAGCCGACCACTTCCGACCTTCATTTTAAAGGCTCTACTTTTCGTAGTGGAACCATCTTAATCACTCTTTAGTGGTGTCCTTGTTAGGCCTTCCTTGGCTTAACGTCTCATTGAGGGTTCGCGTTATTTCCGCTACCATTGGTCCAGGGCCAAACTCATGCGCGAACTTACCCTTTCCAATCATTGTTTTGGTTATCCAGCGTAGTGACATATAAACCTTTTAAGCCAAAATATTGCTATAACGGAAAGGTTGGAAAGTTGTTTCCTAGCGTGGTATTCAAAAAATGAATATTTATTTTGCAAAAATCATCAGGCATAAAGGAACGGAACGACATTTTCGTCGATTCAACAATTTCTCTGAAAGCCGCCAATTCATACGGGCCACGTTTGCAGTTTCCTATTGTATCCTCTTCGAATATTTCTGTTCTATCTAAAGAGCAGTGCTGCAAAGAAAGCAACAGTAAAGGGGACGGCCGTTTCGGGCTTGTTTTCTATCCCCATCCATCCATGCCCTAACCACACAGTTTTTAACCGGGGGGGGGCGGGGGTGGTCAGTTAGTAGTTGGGCTACTGTTGAACCACGGGCCCACTTTCTGTCGGGTGCATTTGCGAACATTCAAGTCGCATGGGGGTTTTATTTGCCGCTCTCTACCCCGATACTGGGATGGAATACGGCGTTCTGCCTTACCTTGGAGTTCCAGTCTGAAGCCCTGGTATGCTGTCACGTGGCAACAGGCGGAAAAAAATTAAAAGGCGTTTCAATTAGGATATCTCGTCGTGACGAATTCCCGTCTAACATCCGAAAAGGTCCTCCATCGGCCTATTTTTCCAAGTTCCCTGCGACTGTCTTTTTCGCGCAGGCGCTTAATCAAGCAGCGTACCTAATTAGGGGTTTGTGTCAAGTTTTTTCCTTTTTCTCTGATTCCGACTAGGACGAACGCCACTTGTGGACACCAAGGAAGGATCCGTTCTACGACTACGAGGCCGAAGAGGCTGAAATACGTAAAGAGGAGGCAGAGAAAGAGAAAGCAAAGGCCAGTGCTCACCAAGCGTACATCAACCGGCTCATCTTTCATCCACACTTTAAGAACATCAGCTACAGTCAGTTAGTTGCGATGGAACCGCAGCTCGAAGTTGGTGCCATAATCATCCGACCCAGCCGACAGGTAGGTTTCTAGCTGCGGTCGCTAAGCGATGGCCATAGTTTTGTTTTGGCATTGTTTCCTTTCGAAATCTTCCCCTTACCCCACTGCTCCCTCTCATTCTGACCCCAGCCCTGTTGCCACGAGTAACCATTGCAGTAACTTTAGCCCAAATGGCTAACGTAAGTGTTCGGCACTGTTGGCTCTAGCCCAATAAGTTGTCTTGTCTCTTCGAGCACGGCGAAATCGGACAGCAAACTACATGCGTAGTAAGCTATCTCGGACACACTGCTTCACGGTTTCTTCTAGAATATTCACTCGTGGCCAAAAGTCATCGATGTAGTAAAACAAGGCGTGTCCGCTTAAATTGCTGCATTTCAGATCAAAACTCCGCTGCTTCTTAAAAAGTAGAGTGAGCATTTTGCCACGCAATTTACGCGGATAGAAGAACTGGTCCTTAAGTTTACGAGGACTGTTTTTTCAAGCCCGTCTCGCTTTAACTAATGTCCTCTCACGAGCGAATACCTGCAAGCACACAAGTTTGTTGGCAATAGTTATTAACACAGGTGAATGCTTTGAGATGAACAAATTCCTATTTTCACGCCAACTTCCCGCTTCCTGTTAAGGAAAAACACTTTGGGACATATCCCGTGGGATTAGAAGTTTTGCACGCATCCCGTTAAACTGATACATCCGAAGTACCCTCCACTAACCATCCACATTTCGGTCGCCATGTATCTTCTGTTTTAAATTATCGTTTCTGAGGCACCCAGACAGCCTAGCCTGATTTTTTTCTGACAATTATCAGAGATTTATTCATTTCACTGTGGAAAGACACTCCGAAAAGTGGTTTCTGATCTGGAACAACGGTTATGCCTTGTTTACATACACGGGAAACCCGCGCTTATTAAAAGAAGTGTACATTCGAACGTCGGGTTTCAACAAGTCTCAGAACAAACAATTTTTGCCGAAAATGGTTCCGTACTATCAAATTACAGATCTCAAGAAGTTATTTTGTCAGGATGCTGGTAAGGAGCGCATTCCTTGTCAGTCGCCTGGGCAAACGATTGGTCCTTTAGAAGCCCCGAAAAACAAAATACATGCTAAGTTATCAATATGCTTTCACGTGTGGCTCATTATTCATAGTAAAGTGGGAGTACATTCCGCAACTATCAGTTAGATAACACTGCGTATGTGTGAGAGAAAGGTAGAAAGAGGGCGAGGCAGAGAAAGTTTTGTTTTCAAATTATTATTCCAAAATTTTGAGAAAAACGTTTTCCGGTCACTGTAGCCACTACGCAAATAAAGTGTAAACAAATGTTTGCATAAATCGACACGACGTCTCAGAGGTCATCCGTCGCCTACTCACCCTACTTGAATTTGGCGTTGCACACGGACCGCGGCAACCATCAAGCGCCACGAGATGAGGCTGAAAGAACCGCTGCCGAAGGCAAAAAAATGCCTGGTGTCATTTACCGGATCCACTGACGTTGGAGTCGAAGCGGCTTCTTCGGATGAACAGGAAGAACACTTCGGACGCTGATGGCCGACTAAGCATCAGCGAAGAAGACGAATTGTGCCAACTCTTAAGTTGCAGCTCACAGGATAGAACTCAGTCACATTTTAACCTCCAACGAGGCCGGGTTTATTGGGAGAAATGAGAACTGCGTGTGAAGCGAGTTGTCTGAGTCATGGTTATCCACCCGTCAGTCCACCTCGAACCCAGCAGTCTTCCACAGTCTTTTTGATTCTGAGCTTGTCGGGGCATTGTAATAAGCCACGGACAGCGTGCGAATGAACACTGCTCACGGTGACAGCACCGTGAATGGAATCGCGGTCACTAACGACACGAATGCTGCCAGTGAAGTGCAAACATCTGCTATAGATGGAGAAACTGTTGATTTTCGTGGTTGCGTGATCTCATATGAATCAGTTGTATCCTGTAAATACTTCCCGCCTCTACCTTCGCTACCTTTGTATGCCTGCTTTCCTGATTAGGGGACGCAAAGTGATCGGGAAACGTCAGGTGAATAATATTCTTGTTCCGCTTATGGAATCTCCTTCACGGCTGCATTTTGGATCTCACCTTCTCGTCTGTCTGTTGTTCGACTAATTTGACATTTGAAGACCTCGGTAATCTCAGGGAGCTCCAGTTGGCTGTCAGGCAAACTTATCGACTGCAGCTACATCCTTCTCAAGGGTGTTTGCTTTTTCTGTCCGATTGGCGATTTTCTCGATTCCATGCTTAAAATTGGAAGTCAGAGCTGTTGCCGGTTGACATCTCGTCAATCTGTCAAATCCCATTTTGCCCTGCAGCGCAGTCTCTTGAGTCGGTTTCTAAATAGTCTCCCCTAATATCAATAAATGTCACTTGGGAGGGACGGGCTGGTAGAGTGCATCTATTTGCCCTGATTGCATGACGAAATTGGACATGTCATTTCTTCTTTGCGGCCTATGCAGACGGTCGCATGATGGCCTCCATTCAATAACTAAGGCATTTTTTCGTTTGAGACAGGGAACGTTGGAGTGGGTATTTCGGATTTACTTAGCACCATTAGCCTGTGATACCCCAACCCCATGCTGCCAGCAACTATTCCTTTTTTGGCCTCGTCACTGTCATTATTAGTTCACCCTCACTTCACCGGCGACCCATGCGCAGTTGCAAATTACGGTTGCCTATCAGGTCAGCATGTTTTGGTCTGTAAAAAACGTCATTTACTCAACCAGCCGTTGTCTCACGTTAACTCAACAATTTTTCATACCTGCACTTTCCACAAGGAACATCAAGTTCCCGTGGATCAGGTTGTTTTTGGTTACTTCCCATGGCGAAATTTCTCCCGCAACGGCTAGTTGAGGTCGCAAATGCAGATATACCCCGACCTGCATGAAAAACAGGCACGTTTTTCTACGCAATCAAATAACTTCTCACCCAACTGTGATTGTCTTGTTGTTGGCCCTACTGAGGATGTGATTTTGCGTTGTCCACATTCCAGAAAGTGCACATCCTTTTCTCTCCTTGCTGCACTGTTTCGGGCTAATTATGCAGACTTACACTCTGCACGCCTTCCCCGAAGGACGGCGGCTTTTTATTGTTTGGAGGGTTCGAAAGAAAAAAAGTGCTGTCCACAAAATGCCGACATTCAAGAAGGGAGGGGTTGCACTGTGTCGGATATTATCAATCGCCAATTCTTTTCATGAAATTGGGGCTGGTCCCTACAGAAGCGTCGAAGAACAGCTGCCGCTGTTGGCTAAAGAAATTGTCCCTGGTGAGACCGGTCATCGAGATCAGAGGCCATAAACGCCATCGCTACGTTATAGTCGATCAGGGGGTTCAGCACCCACAATTTGTGGGAGTTTTTCATGGAATGCCGAAAGTCAAGAAAGGGCGGTTAATTTTACAACCCTACTTAAGTAATCTTCTTGAGTCAAAAACATTTTTCAGAATTTCGGTTAGCATTTCATGAGTTAGCAGACCTACTGTACTTGGTCAGTGCGCGCGATCGTAGGGCGCAGTTTTTGTTTTTTCAGTATGCGGTAAGAATTGCTTGTATACCCCGATCGAAAGCGACAGGACAACGAG